GCAAATCGCAGGAAAAGACAGAAGGTAAGAGGAAAGGAAATCTGGATCAAGTTTACACTACTAACTATAACACCATATCCTTCTATCCTTGCAAACCATCCTTGCTTCCATCATGTCTGTACACTGATACATACCCTTTTGTTCTTTAAAATGTTCTCTCCCTCCCTCCCTCCCTCCCTCCCTCACTTTTTTTTTTTTTTTGAGAATCCCATCAACTCCATTTTAACATTTCTCCATCTATTTTTCCAAGTTTTGACTATCAGTTTCTGACTGATAGTCCGAAAGGTGTATTAGCTATTCAGATATAATGTCCTTCCAAAAGGTGGATGATTAATAACAATTCCTTAAGTGGCTGGATGGCATGAAATCTGGGTGTTCCCCAGAGCTCTACTACCTCCTAGAAGTTTGTTGTAGATAGGCATGTCAGTGCAATGGGCAACAGCGGGCAACACTTCCACTGCTATCCATCCATCCATGTATACAATGAATGCACAGTAATGATTCTTAGAAATGATGACGATGATCCAAATATTGCTGAACTACAACTCTTAGCACCCTTCACCGTTCACCAAATTACCAAGGACCATGGTAGAGAGAGTGGTTCAATCTATATATACTACTAAAATTCTCGTGTCTATAACCTTCAACTGGGCAAAACAGTGTGTCATAGGGCAACAATTTTTGAACCAAGGTGCCTCAAATGGGTTAACTTACAGATTGTGTCCAAAATCTGGGACCCATTACTCCCATGGGATTGAAATTTGGGAAATTTGTGGCTGCTTCTGCACTGCACTGCAGCAGTCAGCCCAGGTCATATGATCATCATGGGCATATTCCTGACCTCTTTCTCACCTCCCTCTGTCCCCTGCGCCCAATCAGCTGGTGGCAAGGCCTGACGGGCAAGCGGCAATTGGCTGCTTTGGAAACAAGGCAGAAATTTGAAATCTCTTAATGGCAGTTGGTGGTGAAGGAAGGATGAGGGAGTGATTCAGATGCTTGCTGGCAAGGTAGGACTGGCTGGGGGGGG